AGTGAACTTTTGGTGCCTTTTAGTCCTGTGTCCTTCCCGGGGGGAGCCGTCTCTGTTCAAGGCGACGTAATATTGCCGCTCAGAGTCCAAGTGTTTGTATAGAGTCGAAGCGTAGGTATTGTACCAGTTTTCTTCAAATTGCTCGCGGAAAACACACTCCCGGGTCAGCTTCTTCTGCATGGCGGTGGTGGTGGTGATGGTGATGGTGATAGCGGGAGAGGAGAGAAAGAAAGACACGTGAGACATTGCCCAACATACACGCATCCCTCCACATTTGCGGCTTTGACTTTTGCAGATTTGATTATCCACAGGTTTTATTAATATGTTCTCTCTAGGAATATCTGGGCCCTCCAGCACAACTCTGTGGTTCACTTTAACCAAAAATCACACACCCAGAGATTCCTAGAGAGAACACTTTTCTAGGTATTTGTAGCTTCTCCAGTGCAATTCTATGGTCAGTGTCTGGCAGATGTTGACTATAGAGTTGCCCTGGAGGACCTAGAGATTCCTAGAGAGAACACTTCACCAGGCATTTGTAGCTCCTCCAGCGCAATTCTAGGATCCTCCCAGTTCCAAGGGTGGCCAGTGGCTTCCATATCAGGGAGGCGGTGAATCTACTCTAAGGATAAACCTGAACCTCACACGAACTGTCCATGGTGCTGAACCTATTTTCAAGGCTGGTCCAAAATGTGGAGTGGATTCATTGCCCCATTGACAGAGGGATGCTGCTGGAAGCTGCTGTGATTCCCAGCCCTTGTACATAATAACAATAACAATATCATGGCCTTCCTCTGAGGCTGAGAGAGTGTGACTTGCCCAAGTGGGTTTCATGGCCAAGCAGGGAACCAAACCCTAATCTCCAGAGTCGTGATGCAATACTCGGACCAGTATGCCACTCTGGCTCTCTGTTTTCTACATGGAGGTCATTATATTGAATGGAGGAGCATTCAGTCCAGAGAGCCACTCCACTGCAATCTGAAGTGATGCAGCCCCAAAGGAGGGTTGGGGGGGGTGTTTATTGGCTGTTTGGCAGAATTGGACCAAAAATCAAATGCCATGGAGTATGGGTTCTCATAGGGAGCCTCATTAGGGAAAGCTGAGCAAATGACCCATAACACCGTAATTCGAAGCAGCAACACAAGATAACCAACAACTGAGGTCATGCCCCAAGTCCGTAACCAAACCCTGAGGTGGTACACCTTAAAATAGTTACTCCCAGGAATAGTTGGTGGACACTGATACCATGGAAGCCCCTCCAAGAACATGGGCCAGACTCCGGAGTGTGTCGCTGGACACGGAACTGGTCTAAGCAGCTCACAAATCTTGCAAGAGGTTGGAAATGGTCAAACTTCAGGGATTGCAAGCTATTCCATTTCTTAGCTGCCTTTCAAGACCAGAGTCTCTCCAGAAAGGCTTGCAACATTTTTTTTAAAAAAGCCAAACACTTTATATAGCAAATAATATTAAATGAGTTTTTAAAACATAATTTTAAAATCTAGTCAGTAAATATTGATGAAATGTCCAGTTGAAAGTCAGAAGGAAGAAACTCCTCTTCAAAAAGTAACTTCAAAAGCAGCCACAGGTGGGCCAGCCATATCCTTCTCGGGAGAGAGTAGAGCTATTGCATCAACACCTAAGTAAATCCAATTGATTCTATGGGTTTACTCAATGGTTACACTGGTGGAACTCTGCTGACACAACCATGAAATGAATACTTCCATTGACTAACAGCTAAACAAGTACAACTGCATGTGTAAAGGGACTTGACATGGGGATAGGACATCAACAGGATTCCACCCTTAAAGTCATCATCACCATCATCATCACCATCACCATCACCATCACCATCATCATCATCATTTCCTTTTCCACAGAGATCTACCTACCTGCTAAAGAATTGCATCGCCAACAACATTTCATGTGCAGAAAAGAGCTTTTCTGGGCAGGAAATAATATTCTTGCAAAGAATTTTCTCTGCAGAGAATGCTATTTTGTGTACAAAATGGCTACATGCGAATTATGCACAGAGTAAGTCCCAAATAGTGAATACGGCGCCAAAGCGGCATTGTTTTTGAAGATTTTCTAATTGCTAAAATTACTTGTTGCATCCTTCGAGAAGAAAGCTAGTGACGAATTATATATCCCTATAGATAGGTCCCAGAAACCTACCGGGGCTCTATGCTAGTGAAAAGAGAGGGTTGTGCAAGGGTTGTGTTTTCAAAGAGGTTGCCAAGCACCAGCGATTGTTGGTGGCTTCCATTTTCCCAGAGTTGTGAACCCACTCAGGATTTAAAGGAGCTATCCAGGTGCTGAAGGGATCTGGCCAGACTCAGAGGAACTATCCAAGTGCTGAATGAATTTTGTGGGTCAGCGTAATGTACAGCTCCTTTAAAATATAGGGATTTAAAACAGAGAATGGATTCCTTGGCCTCCTAGACATGGAAGACAGCACTGACCACTGAGCAAAACTGCCATCTGGTCTTCTGAGAGATGGATGGCCTTTCAAACCCACCATACTGGCCATGAACAACAAAGCCAGAGGTGATTTCTGTGGCTCACCTGGATGCATAACACCTTGACGTTACCACCCACCTGTCCTACATATTTGATGTTAGACAAGTTACCCCGGGTCACACTTACCGATCCGTACAGCTCTCCTCTCTCGTTCATCCCGAGATAAAGTCCAGAATCCACTCCGCGGATGCTGACCAGTCCAACGGCCAAGCTAATAAACTCCAAAATCCCTTTTAAGAAAACAGACCCAGAGAGAAATAAAAACAGAGTTACTGAAAGAAATGCAGACCAACCATTCCTGGTGGGCATCGTTCTCCTAAACAGCGCTTTCCCCCACCTGCCAAGACTTTAATTTAAAGATTATCAACTCTCTAAGAGATTTGGCTCTTCTCTTTCCGAAGGTCGTAGGTGAGATGATAACATGCGGAAAAACTTTTCTATCCCCCGCTATGAATACCAAAATCTATGAATGCTCAAGTCACATGAAATACAATGCCCTAATAAAATGGTGTCCCTTGTATAAAATGGCAAAATCAAGGCTGGCTTTTTGTAATTTTGGGGAGGGTTTTTTTTCCCCAAGCCGTGGGTAGCCGACTCTGTGGATGCAAAATCCGTGGATATGGGGGACTGTCTAGATAAGGAAGCAAGGCATGGGAGGAGAGAGGAGAACAAACTGAAGCATCCCCCGGTTATTTATTTATAGACCTTCACGGACACACCTGACCCATCCTGGCTGGGTTACATCCCCCGCATGCCTCCGACTAGTTCCAGGTTTCTCCACTTGGAAAGACTCGACACGGCTTGGCGAACTGGACTCTTGGCTTTGGAGAAGGGGAAAGACTCGTTTCGTCAGCACATTGCCAAGGATCCCTTCGGTGCATAAGGCAGAGCAGCAAGAACCCTTGCGCAACCCCAATGCCCTCATGGCTATACATAGCACAGGTACATCATCACAACCTCCAAGCTTGCTCCATGGGGGCCTCTTGCAGGAGGGCCTTCTGGCCGGGTCAAAGCCAATTTATTTACCTTGGAGATTTCTAGTGTCCCTTCAGCAAAACTTCCAAAGCCCAATAGTTGCATATGCAACTTTAAATGATGGGCAGATAGGCATTAAGGGTTGCATACCCTCCACCTTTCCCAATTAAATCTCCCCCATCTCACTTTTTAAAAAAGGGTCCCAGTTTCTCTCTCTCTTCCTCTCTCTTGTCCATGTTTCATCATGGTGTGGATGGTCAGTAGTGAGAATGGGGCATGGGGATCCCTCCGGATGCTGTTAAAGTGCTAACCATTTCCAACTTATGGTGACCCTAAGAGGAACCTATAATGGGGTTTGCTTGGCTAGATTTGTTCAGAGGATGTTTGCTTTCGCCTGAGCCTACTGGGAAGGATACGATTCTGCCTCTTCCTCACCTCCA